AGAGCCGCGTTGCAACTCGCAAGCCTCTTGCCAGAGGTCGGAAATTGCGCGCAGTGAAGCTGTCCTGAGATACAAATTGTAGTTGCAGGTGGACACCCTCCCAGAAGCCCTGGAGAAAGCCTTCGAGGCAGTGCATTCCAACATAGTTGCCGCAGCCTTAGCTGATTAAGCACCCCTGCTGGGGCATGCAGTATCACGCAACCCCGGCACGCAGCCTGGGCATCAACATTAGAGAGAGGTAGTGTAGGGAAGGAAGTGAAAAGGATTGAGCGAGCGGGGAGGGATCGTGAAGCGCCGCTGACCCCACTGGAGCACACTGCAAGGTAGTGTCAGAGCTTGATGGATGGACTGTGGACACCAGCGGCTGCACAGCGGCGGTCGTGCTGTGGAAGGACAAGCAGGCAAGACCACCACAAATAAAGTTCTGTTGAGCGCAACTCTCAAACATGGCTCCACTCGTTTTGGCAGCGATTGCAGAGCATGGATGCAAACATAACATAATATTATTTTTCGTTTATTGTTCTGCCCTACTGCGCAACCAGAGTCCAATTGGCCAAGGCCGGGGCCTTCAGACTTTACTCAGGGATTCAACATTGACATATGTTTTTCGTTTTCGGCTGGCAAAGGCTCAGCGAGACCCTCCCCGCAACACTCCATTCGAGGTCAGCTCCATTTTGTCGTAAGCCCCTGGCAGCAGGCCGTCGTGGCTCACGTGGGCGATTCAAGATGTGTCATTGGTAGCGAGACGATGCCTTAGAACCGCCGCAGCAGAGAACATGGCATTGCATCCATGCCAAACGTTTGAGGAGAGTGTCTGTTCAACTGCCGACAGCGTTTTACAAGGGCTTTGTTGTCATTTCAGGCCTTTTGATAGCCTTCGGGCAGAATTGCTGAAGTTCTAGTGACCCAGGAAAACCATGCAGACTTGAGTGGCGCAAGGTCGGTGCTGCTCTATGAAACCGCAGATCACAAGCCGCTTGGTTTGGCTTGCCAGTTGTTTCTTGACGCCTGTGCTTTGGGGTGGGGGGCATGGGCCCAAGCTTTTTTCCGTAAGTTTGTGGCAGTGTCGGTTGGTCGGTCGGTCGGTGGGTTTACTTGCATTGGAGGGCAATGTGTTTAGTGTTTGCTTGCTTTGTCCCTTTTCGTTATTTCTCGGTGGCTGTTGTGGCTTTGGACCCCAAAGAAATCCGAAGCCCACCCTCAATCCAGCTTTCAACGGCCTTTCGCGGGTTTTCGTGGTTTTTAGTTGCTTTTCGGCCCAAACCCACCCTAAGCCACAAGTTGTTGTTGCTCTTGCTGTTGCTGTCGTCGTTGTTTTTGTCGTGGTCGGCGTGGTCGTCGCCGTCGCCGTCTTCGTGGTCATGGTCGTCGTCGTCGCAGTTGTCATCATTTTTGTGGTTGTTGTCGTGCTTTTCTACCTTTCGCATCCCCTTCTGCTCAAGTTTTTTGGCGTCAGGCCATCGCACGACATGTTCAAGCCCCACAGTGTTAAGAAAATACTTGGACTCGTTGCTGACACTTTGGGCCAGAAAAACGTCACCAAGAATTGATCAACTCTGTCAACACTTGCCGGATTTGATAGACTTGTTTTTAACCTGTTGGGTCACGTTTTCTCAAACATTGTACCCCACTTTCCGGGCTCGCCTTTGGTTTGAGGCCCTCCGTCCAAGATGAGAAGGCACGAATTGAGCAGCTGGGCGGCGAGGTGCACACTGAGGCCTGGATGTCAGTGCACGTGGTAGTGGTGTGAGCCTTGCGGGCCTTGCAACTACAACTTGTGGAATGGTTTTGTGTTTGGGTGGGGCCAGGGGTTGCTTGAGGCATTGCCTTGCCATTTTGTGCCTCCGATGTCCCTGAGGTTTATCCTGATGGATGGACCGGGCTGCCAGCAAGTAGCTTTGGGCACAAGCTTCATGGTTTTTGCTTTTTTCTTTTTGCCGCGGGTGAAATGCAACTTCGGGGGCGAAATGCATTGGGAGAAGTTGAGTCGAGCGGCCAGGGGCCAGTGCATGTCCAGGCTGCAGCCTTGCGCAATGTTCGGCTTCTGCCAGGACAGAGCATCGCATATTCGTCAAAGATACGGACAAGCCAGGTGGGCTTGCAGGCTCTAAGCAAGCCCCATTGGAGCTCAAAGTCTGTCGGGGTTGGTCTTGTTGGGGTTTGTTTGATTCTGCCTACAGGTAGTTCTGCGAGAACTGCTGAACAGTAACAGCTGAATATTCAACGTGTGGACGGGCCATACTTTGCTTCAAATCAGCCCTGAAAATTGTTTGCGCTGGCCCCCCCCCATACAGAGTGCAATGTCTCCTGGCTCAGAAGGCTGCAGCACGAGGCCAGTGAGGGCAGAACACAAACGAGAGTGGTGGATGCTGGCACAGGGGGCCCAACATTTTGCCAGACAGAGGAATGGATAAAGGGCTATTCAATGATGCTAGCATCACGCTCGAACATCCTGTTGTGTTTGAAGCAACTGGCATCACTGACGCAGCATCCTTGCTTGCTTTGGGCCCTGTTACTCTCTGCTTGGTGGACCGTGTTGGCGTTACAGCCAGGTCTCAGCATGAGCCGATCCATTGGGGATGCCATGGTGAAGAGCATTGGCTTCCTGGGCTGCATAAAGCTGACTGCCAACTTCTGGTAGCATCAACAATGGTCCCATGTCGCAGGTTGTGTAGGCTTTGACTTTCCGAAGCCTGACTTGAAGTGCCAAGGTGTCGTAGCAACGCCAGAAGTGAAGTTTGTGGATTTGGGCAAGGCGGCGAAGCCCTTCATGGTCCTTGAATCTTGCCTGCAAAGTGAATGCACCAAGCCCTTGCCCAGTTGCAGTATGGTTGGCGCCAAGGCGACGCTTGCCTATCTGATCAGTGCAAAGTTGGCGAGTAGCGCAGCCAAGGCATCTGACGGGGTGTGGGAGTTTATGTCTTCAGCTCCTTGGACCTTAGCCGAGGGCCTTGGGAATCCCAACTTGGGCCTCAAGACAGGAACTCGATCAGAAATGCGGAGTATCAGGGTCATCTTGAGCACAGCAGTTAACATCTGATCAAGAGCCTCAGCATGCCCCGGCAGCTCGTAAGTTCTGCTTGTTAAGGACACCGTGGTCAAAGCCGCGACGTCCACGTTACAAGGCCATGGGATGCATTGCGATCCAGTGTTCCCGTTGCGAAACTTGTTGGCTGGGCGGCATGAGTGCTAGCATGAGTGCTAGCGCCCTCTTTTTGCCTCCTTGAACTTGGAGGTTGAGAAAGTACTGAAGGTGAGCTACAAGCAATAAGGTTAAACACAAACAAGGCAAGATGATAGAATTTGCACCAGGCCGCGGTGTGAAGCAAACAGCCGAGGACGGGGCTGTAGGAAGGGCCTGCGTTGCTACAATTTCCCCATCTTGAATACAATACATCAGTTTTAGTGAACTTACACCCATATGACAGTCACCAGGCTCAAAGTTGAGACTGGGGCAATGAAATTCACTGGCTGTTGCCAATTCACATTATTTTTCTGCCTCGGGAAGCTCACCGTAAATGTGCACTAGTGATGCAAGTCAAATCGGCGTTCGAGCACATCTGAGCCATCCAAATCCTCAAAGCCGACCTGTACGCATCCAGACCGCAAAAGGGGCTTGTAGAAGGACGAACCCCAGAACCATGACTGCAGGGCATGATTCTAGACGCCAACTGGCAAAGTCCCGGGTTGAGCAGAGGGACTTCGCACGTCAGGACTTATATGATGCTTCGCTCCAGTGCTGGCGAAACGCCGAGAGCGCTGGGTAGCCCAGAGAGAGGGCTTTTGAATGATGAATTCAGAGTTGGGAAATGTGTTGCAGCTGCAGCTGCCAGCTTTGACATGTCAGGATTACTGCGATGACATCTCCGCAGTAATCGTTGACTTCAGCTGAAGTGGAAGGCAGGGTAGGGTTTCATAATGGATGTCTATCTCGAAATTTGTTTCAATGCTGAGCACAAGAAGATGCAGCGGGCATATGCGGGCATCCGTGCGAGGTTGCAAGGCTATTGTGACAGTTGCGACTTGCTCAGGCAGAAGTTCCTCAAGATTGCCCTCATGGATCACAGGATGCTGGAGCGCGCTCGTCACCAAATCTGAGGCGCAGTGATCTGCCATCGATTCCACTTGCACTTATCACTCAAGCTCCATCTTTTAAATCTTCAGGCCCGGCAAGTTACAAATGAAGGAATATGTCAATCTGTTGCATGGTCCCACTCAATTACAATGCAACAGTTGTGCGAAAAGAGTATGTAGCGAGCAGGAGAAGAATCTCACTTTCTGGTCCGACAGCCCACTGCATTCAATAGTGGCTGATCGTGCTACAGGCCTGAGCCCTGAGGCTCTGATTTAAGTCGGACTTCAATTCATTGCTTAGCAGCGTGGCCGAATGCCCACACAGTGCGGTACTCTTAGGTGAGCGATTGATAAGTATATATAGACGAATGTACATGTGTGACATAGCGGGGCAGCCTTGCTCTACACTAAGAGACTGGCGGGATGAGTTGTTTCACCCAAAATGCTGGAAGTTGTAGGCTCGTGTGCCGGTCTGTTTCACTGGCTTGTGCGGCGGAACGTGGTTCTTTCTTCAGAATCTGATTTCTTAGACCTGACGACTTGCTGCAAGGTTGCGCTTGCCATGAATGATTTTGGGAGGTGCCAGTCTGACGCGGCAGAATGCAGACCGGACCTTCCCGAAACGACCACGCATCGGCCATGTGGAAAAACACTATGGTCTTACTTATGCTGATTTCATGCTGAGAGAGCAGCCTATCCCGATGTTCTACGAGATTTGTATGTCCCAGCAGCCCCAATTGCTGGTCACAGAAGTTGAAGAAGGGGCAGTGGGGTCACACGTTTTGAAAGCTTCGCAGTTTGCGAGAAGCTCTTTGGCAATTGAATCTAGCTGACTGTGATGTGGTCAATCAGTGCTCTCACCCAGTGTTGTCGGTTCTGCTAGCGTTTAGCACTGCATTGCAAAGCTTACCATGCCTCTCACTTAGGAAAGCCGCGCACACCGCGAGAAGCTTCAGTTGCAGGCCTTGACTGGAGACGCTGATGCAAGCTCCATATAGGCTGCATCGGCTAAATTTAATTGTCTTTATGACATGTGTTTAATGCAGGGGGAAATTGAGCAGTGTTTAATGTTGGGGGCATTGAGCAGAGAGGTGGAATGGAAGAGTGCGGTGGCATGCTTTTGAGCGCAGGAAGGCGAAACTGGTGTGCTGATTATGGCTGTGAACCAAGGGCACCTTGGCAGTATTAGGGTAGCAGTTTTATAAGATTGGCAGTAAAAGATGTCGCAATCCTGGGCATGTCAATCAGTGTTGGCAAGCGCCAACCTGCACTTTGGGCTTTCGGAAAGTTGCGCAAAGCCTAGAGGCATGATGAGTGCAAGCAAGGCCAACGGACCCACCAAGCGTGCTGAAGACCGGCGACGTTTTGCTGCAGGCTGCTCGTGCACACGCGCGTTCTTGTTTTGCGGACGTGCGTGCACGTTTGTGGTCGCATGTTGTGGCACATTCTGACCACTTTGTCAGAGTTGGACCTGTGCAAAGCAAGAGGTACTCACAGGCGTGCCAGCTGTGAGCATTGATGTGAGTGTTGGACGAACCTGCGGCTTGCCATTACTGTACCGCGTCGGCCTTTGTGCACCAGGTAGGGAAATACAAGGTGGACAACTTTGGTGCCGTCCAAATGCTTGGGGCCAAGAAGTGTCGCTTTCTTCCTACTTTTGTGCTAAACGTTACAGGCACTTTCTGTGATAATGTTTAATATGGCTGAAATGGGGGGGCTTGACTGGGGGGCACCTTGGCATGCAAGGTTCGGACAGCGTGTTGCTTTGAGTGCTGCGCGGACGCCCAGGACGCTCAAGTATGATGAAGCAATACCAAGTGCATTCTGGTCGCTTTCTGTGTGTGCCCACTCCTGGTCTCAACACAGCCAAAACAAAGCTAGCATGCATTGAAACAAATCAAGCTCGAACTAATAACCCACTCATCAACAGGGATGGGAGGTGCTGCCATTTGGAGGAGGTTGCCTGGCTGCGTCAGAGTTGATCAAACTGATCTAGAAAGCCAATGCTGAGGCACAAGATTTGTTCTACGTCGGAGATGCTGCGAGGCCTGCTCCCTGGAGCACGTTCATGCCGTGAGGTCTCGGCATCCCGAGCTCTCAACCACCGAGTTTGCTCTCCGCTGTATCAGTGCTGTATCGGGCAGTCTTGACAAAATGATGAACTAAGTTAGCAAGTCCAGGCTTCTGGTGAGACGTGGCGGTGAGATGCTGGAGCTGGAGGCTTGTCGAGCGTTTGCCCGCCACAGCTCAGTACTTTGGATGGACCGCATGTTGCTAGTGCTAGTGACAGTCTTAGCGCTAGTGTTGGTGTTGTTCTTGTTCTTGCTCTTGCTCTTGCTGCTGCTGCTGCTGCTGCTGGTGGTGGTGGTGGTGGTGGTTTGTCTCCCTGCTTGTGCTTGCTGACTCGGACCTTGTCACGGCTTGTCTCCTCAGTTGTCTCCACACTCGTCGTCTCCCTGCTTGTGCTTGGTGATGCGGACACTTACCTGGCAACCCTTTTTGCTTTATATGACACGTACTCGTGTTTTGGCATTCCATGGGCAACACACTTTCGAACAAGAACAGTTGGTTGTCCCTCACGCCTTGTCCTTGAAAGCTTGGGTTGCCTGCTCCGGCATACTCTTCGGTTTTCGCATTTTGTGGTCCACTCATGTCCACTTGGAACCCGCTGATGAGTTGCCGATGTGTGCAATTGCTGCTGTTTTAATGTTGGTTGTTGGTGGTGGTTTGTTGCTTGTGATCGCTTAAACTCAGAGCCCAACACGGTCTATTTCCGGCTAGGGGTGCTTGGTATTTCCGGCAGTCTGAATGGCCGGCCCAGGGGTTCAGAGAAGCGCAAGCCGGATGCAGGCTTGAATGTTTGGCATTCGAATCACGCTCACGGCAGGCAAAACTGCGGCCTTCAACGCACCTTGTGCCGCCGCGTGCTCAAGACGTGTCGCCCGATTTGCAAAGCGGTGCAAGAAACTCTTGGGGCAATGTCCCTGCCAGGAAAACTCAGGTGCAGCCGCCACGGATCTTTGAATGCGTTCATGCAGGCCGCCCTTCAAATGATGAGCATGCCTGCTCCACTGAACACACCAGATGGTTGAGAACCCCCTTCCACTGCGTACGCTACAGTCTGAAAAACATACGCACAGACACCCATCGCAAATGAACAGAGCCACGCGCCGCTGCATTTGATAACAAGAGCACACACACACACACACACAGCACACTCCGTGAAACCGCACGCAAAGTTTGCACTGATACAATCAGCACACAAGGATCCTCCTGTGAAAGATCGGGCAATGATGACGAGTAGCTTCAGCAACACTAATTAGGCAAGGGGCCAGCCGAGACTTGGAAGAAGCAGGGAAGCCGAAAACAGCAGAGTCCACTTGTCTTACCGCAGGCCGGGATGCCGAAACTATCTGAGAGATACTCTTTGAGTCTTATAAACGCACCGGGCGGATATGAGGCCAATTCAGAATTTGATGCTAAAAGGAAGGTTTTACCAATGGGTTCAAAACAGCGTCACCAGCTGTCAACAGCACAACCCCCTGCAACTTGGACGGTTCAGCGGGTTGGCCCTGAGGCGCTGCATCTACCGCGGCCAAGTGACTGTTGAGCAGCAAGCTTGTGGGATGGGTCTGTGGTGAATTTGATGGCTGCAAGGATTTGTTGTTGGGGTCGCGGCTTGATAGCCAGTGATAGTATGTGTGGGCCCCCACCCGTTCACATCCAACTACCCAGTTTGGCGCTAACTCTTGCTTAATCCGCCCCCCTGAGACGGAGATGTGTGGAGTTGGCAGTCAGGCATCGAGTATGCCATTCATTCTCATATGCTGCGCTCAGGCCGGAGTTCTTCATTTTCGCTGGCTTGGTTTTTACGCCGCTGAACGTCGAAGCCTGACATACGCAGCCACAGGGCAAGATGCGGAGAACGGTTGGCCCCCTGCGCCCTCTGAGGCTGACTTTCTGGAGCAAGCCTGGCCTCATGCGCAGGAGAGCGGCGGCCTGTTTTCCCTGTCGTATGTGTTGTGGACATGCGCAGCAGCCACATTGCGGCGGAGACCGGCATGGGGACATTGGTTTTGGGCGGAGCAAGCTTTGATATTCACTGCCCTGTTGAACTGCCTGCTGGGCTTTCACTAGGACCGGCCCGCTCACCTCATGGACATGTACCACAGGTGCCGTGGGTGGAGCGGTACTGTGCAAGGGCTCGGCCACAGTTTGCCATTGTGCGGCTTGACAAGCGGCTCAAGTGGCCACTAGACAGAAGAAGGAATGGCATCATTTCCGATCAACTCAAGACAAGACACGCAGCCCATCGCGTCTTTGTTGCTGCACCGCCCGGGGAGGCTTGTCGCGCCCTCTGTTTTTTTTCCTTGCCCAGGGGTGTCATGACTCCAGAGAAGAGCCAAGCTATAGCGTGGCGCTTACGATTTGGGAGTCTCGTGCCGGCTGAATTCTTGATTTGCGCTTCCGGAGTTTGTGTTTCAGGAAGTTTGATGCAAATAACACCAGCAGCGTTCTGTGCCTGATGCGGCAGCTATCGCACTTGCTGAAGCAATTGCCACTCCGTGACTGGCTGAGATTCTACTGAATGTCCTGGCCGATGATGTGAATGCCGGCATGGGTCCCAAGATGTCCGTTTCTCTATGTCTTATTGTTTGGCTTGCACGTACTTGTTCGTTGACTGATGTTTTTACGGCCTTCGGAGTTTGCGTGGCATTGCGGTGTCAGCCCGTTTGTTTCCATGTTTTGGTTTGGGCCCCCATGCTTCCTCCAACAATCACCACCAACCACAAGTCCTACATCAGGCTAGATCAAACCTTCTGTGGCTTCAGCTCGTGGCCCCATCGCACCCTGATCCATCGAGGCCATGGAACTGGCTATGTGGGCGCTCCTTTGTTGGAGAGCCGGGCGCCAATGATCTTGGAGTCCGAATTTTACGGAGTGGACTCAGGCGTGGCTGGCCGCCAGGCAGGTCAGACGCCTCTGGTCAGCTTTAGCAAGCGCCCTTCGCACAATGAATTTCCAACCGGGATGCGAAGCTGCTTGTCCTCGTTTTGGCATGGACTCGGATAGATCTTCACCGAGTCTATGGGACTTGCACAAGGAATGAACTTCAGCAAGTCAGGGAGTGCAACACTTAAACTTCAGGCTACTTCTTGCCACATCCTGCAACTAGCTATGGACGGCTGGATTGTGCAGGTCTCCGATATGAGAGAGCTCGTTGCCTGCCTGCTTGACGAGGCAAGGTGACAGCAAAGGCTCTGCCATGTTGATGTTTCAATGGCTGTATGTTGGTTGCTTGCGGCTACTCTGCAAAGGCTGCCTGCGGCTTTCTGTCGAGTTTGGTTCTAGTTGCCAGGCTCAGCGCCGAGAATTCGTGGAAATCAACTTCCGCATGGCCGCCCCTCAGCTGGCACATGGAGTTTCATAGCAATTATGTTTGAGCCTGCTGCTGCTTCAAAGTCTGCCCGCATTGACGCTTTGGGCGTCGAGAAGGCTCAACCAGCACTCGCATGTCAGAGGTGTCACCGTTTGGGAGTTTAACGGTGTATGATGTCCAGTTCAGTCATGGGGATTGTTCGAAATGGTGTCAATGCCCAGCCACGCTGATGACCGTTTCTCAAATGTCCCGGCCTAGGCTGCCGTTGCAAAACCTGAGGTGTAACTGACAGCGCTCGATTTCCGTTAAGTGGCGCGGAAGATCATGAGAGCATGCCTCAGGTGGGGCCCTACACCATGGTGCTGAAGTCCGCGGAGATACCGGAGGCGCTTGCATCGACATACTATGTCGTTGCGCTAGCTCGTGGAAAGCAAGTGCGTGGCACCGTCGTTGGGTGGCTGAGGTTGGTGACGGTTGGTGCACCGAACACTTGGTTTGCTCTCGACTTTTGGCAGGCAGAAGTGAGGATCCGAGAGTTGTACCAGCTGCTGATGACTCAGAGTCACGCTGCGTGTTCAGTCCAAGGCTATGTTGCATGGATTGAGTTGCGATTGCCCAGCTGCACTGCCCGAGGCCCTCCCTGGCCTCACGGAATCTTTCACCCGCGGGAGGAGTTGTAGGCTGAGAGCCCAACTGCCAATCAATGAAATCGCGAGAAGCGCTCGCATTTGCGTTGGCTTGCATGCCACGTATGCTTCTGGCTTCGTTGGGATGACCCAGCAGAAGCTGTTGCGGGTCACCGGGGAGGAGAGAGTCTGACTTTGCCTTTCGGTTTCAGCCACTCGGTGAATATACCTGGTTTGCTGGCCGTGTTTCAGCTGGCTGAGCGCACCTGCCCATCCTCTTGCTGCTGGAGAGGCCGTTGGAAATAATTGACTTTTGAGAAAGGGGGTCTGGGTTTCCGGCCTTTTCCTGGCAGCATGACGGGGGATAGCCTGTCCGCATGAGGTTTTGGATGCCGAGGGCAAATGCTGCTGGCCCTTGCTCATACGTTTCGACCATTTGAGTCCGATGTTTCGCGAAAAGAGCGTGGCTTCAAGCACAAATGGATTGCGATGATGCTGCGACAACTTAGCACGGTTCTGTCCGGACTGCTTCAATCGTGAGCCATCAGCGCTTTTGACAATCCCGTTTCTGTTGAAATGCTTGCATCGGCACATCAAGGAAGTAAACATACACAGTTAGAAGATACTTGGAATGTCTTGTCTCTTTTTTCTTCTCCCTTAGTTGAACGATGCATTGCGTTCGATGTGGAACCGCATCCCTGCCACGGTCAAAGTTTGTCGTTGTCTAGGCACTGGCGCAGCCAAGCCAACAAACCCCGCCACTTGCTCAGGACGGTACAGCATCATTAATCCTTCGGAATGAGGTAAGCCCGCTCAAAAAAACTAATTATCGCCACACAAAGACAGATCCGATTCCATACTGACAACAGAGAGACAGCATGGTCACCCTGTGACTCAACCTGGTACCTAAAAAAGCTGCCATTTGTGTTTCGCAAAACATGGTTTTGCGAATTCGGCCGGCGCAGCCGTAATTCTCCAAGGCACGGCCGCAGTAATTGTTCAAGGCAGTGATTCTTGCGCTTTTGGCGGCGGATCTTCACTTTGAAAGCCGGCTCCAAACAACACGCTCAGGTCACTATATGTCCCAACCAGCACGATGAGCATGTTTGTTAGTGCATGTCAAAATGCCAAAAACAGAAGTTGACCGCTTTTTTTGGCACCTTCGGTTGCGTTGGCCGCGATTCGGCAGGTGACTGGCCTAATCGAGGGACGGCCAAACTTCTCGAGGGAACGGCCATAATCGAGCCGAGGGCACATCAATAATTTTCAAGTGAACAGACGTAAACGGCCGTAAAATGTTTTGGCGGGACGGCCGTTTTTCTTGCCGTTTGCAGCAGGCCACAATTTGAGGAGATCGCCAGTGTCCTCTTCCTTTGTTGCTTGGCAAAACACCCGAGAGAAAAACAAAAGTACAAAACCCGCAGAAAACCCGCAATTTGCGTAGGATCCCGTTTCGAGAAAAGAAAGTGAAAGTGCATGTTGGGATCTGTTTGCAAGAATGTGTCTTTTTAAAGGAGGCCCTTTGGGCCTCAACCAATGCGTTGATACTTGTTTGGGCTCTCCGTCCCCGCCGGTGGCGGCACGCGCGAAGAACTAGCGAAAGCGTTTGTTTAGGCATTGACCAACGCCTGCCATGAAGGCAAACGGCAAAAAGTGTTCGTTCATTCGGAGAAAAACATGTCCCCCAACGGCCACAAAAAGTAGGGAAAAGAAAACGGCCAGAAAAAAGGCACCTTTTGGGCTCCAGGAAGTGCTAGTGCAACTGGCTGTTGCTTGAGTCATCATGTTGAGTGTACGAAATTTGCTGGTGCCATGTCAGGGCACATTCCTTTGGATTTCCCAGCAACAACGGCCTTGAACGGGGCGCAGCCTGACGCAGGGCTCTCTCAATTTCTTTCGGCACACTTGTCACTCATTTGATTTGAAGAGCTGACTTTGGTTCTTGCAGTCCAACCTCATGCCAACCTACCGGCACCGCATCGGCCTTGCTTTGGCAAACCAATCAAGAGCTTTTTCCCATGCCCTTGGTTTAAACATGGCTGTCAGCATGGGAACTGGAACATGCACTGCTAAGGAGCAAGCAGCTTAAGCGCAACAGCTTGTATGTTCGACCACTTGACCGCTGCTATTTGTCACTGGGGGAGGTGTGACGCGCATGCGTGTGTGTATGTGTGTGTGTGTGTCTTGTCCTGTCATTTTGGCTCCAATGCAAGGCATTGCAACATCATGATTCGAGCCCGGTTTCACTTATTTTGTCACGAACGGTGCTATGCGCTGAAATTTTCGCGCCACACCCGCCCAAAGACCCTGATAGGTCAGTTACTGCTTGCAAGAGCTGACGCCATCGGCTCCTGAGCGAAGGCAGAGTTGCGCAACAACATCAAGCCGCCACGTAGAAGCTTCACCCATGGCCTACCATAATTTTAGTGCATGAATTCTGTGCACGTGGGCGACACGCATGGGCGACATGGTAGTTTCGACTGAGCCCGCAGCGGGCAGTTCTTCAAGCACTCTGTGGCTAGGCTGCACTTAATCGTGGATGCGAAGGATATTATGTGCAAATGGGAGTCCGTGGAAAGCAAGTGCATTTTGTGCCAGACTTGTTGCCACGATCAACCAGCTCTTGTCATTGACCAAGGTACCAATGCCAATATTGCCCAAAGACTTGCTTGAATAGGGGAGGGCTATTTGTCCATGAGCGAGCCTTGGCTGAACAGAAGTGGGGGCGGGCAACTTGCGTGGCAGGCCACAGTTCAGTTTGAGATATGTGGCAAACATTGCGTTTGTCTGACAGGCACGTGTCAGAAAGCAACTAACCACTATGCCCTCTGGTTTCTGAATGAAGGGTCTCAGTCTAAAAACCAGGCCCCAAGCAGCCTTCTACATCTAAGAATCGGCACCGAGCTGCAAACAATTTGTGGTCACTGGAGTTGGCTTTGCTTGCATGAGAGTGTTTTGGCATGTGAGGGAGTTGGGCAAAGCAAACCTCAACGGGCCCCCACAAACATGGGAAACGGGCGCAACAAGACCATTGCCAGGCTGGTGCAAGCAGAACCCGGAGCACATAGGCTTGGTGCGCAAGCCATTTGCTTGTGCTTGAAATGTGCTTCTGCAACCATTGGCTAGCAACCGGCTGGAGTGGCATGTTATGGTGGCCGAAGTTTACAGCGGCTGAAACGAGGACAGAAGCGCTGCAAGACAGAGGACGGGGCCGTCAAAGAGAGAAAAAATGGCAAAGCCAGGTGGGGGGCAAATGCTATTTCTCTCCCTTTTCACAGTGGCGGCCTGTGAACATTCTTATGGACGAGTTTCACAGCACAGTCGCAGGAGCCATATTCCGAGCAAAGCGACAGATTGGAATAACCATGGTAAGCCAGCAGGCCATCAGGTAGCTAACATGCGCTTGACAAGTCAGCCTCCACCTCCCAGCAATGTGCATGAGGAGGTGGAGGAGACGCAGGGGCCAGCTTGCAGCCAAGAGGAACCCAAACACGTTGAGAGGGAGTTGTTTGGGTAGAGGCAGCCTCAGAAACATGGTCACTCGGAGGGAGAGTCAGCGGCTCAAGAGTGACCTGCTCAGATGCGCCCGGAAACCAGTGTGACTTCGCAAATCACGGTATGCGACATGACTCACTTCCTTGGACAAAGCGAAGCGCGTGGGCGAGCGGCCAAGGAGTCGGCCCTTCCTGGACGAAAGGAGTCGCCGAAAACACAAGGCCGAAGCGGGGCCTGGCGTTTTGTGGTGGCAGGTGGAGGAAAATTTAGCACAATTTTCCGAAGAGCAGCAGTGACAATGGTGTGAGCGTGGTCAAGATCAAGCTGTTTTGGGAGCCCTGTGTCTGTGAGGCCGAGCAAGCACAGCTGCTGAGGTATCGATGCTTTGGCTTGTCAAATTACCACATCGCAGATGCAAATAAGCGAGATATGCCTCCACTCCTGAGAACATGTTTCGCTGAGGGGATCACCCCGTTTTACCACAGAACTGACTGCACCGCGCATGGCATTTTTCTAGCTTCCCACCTTTTGCAGCGCCCTTTTGATTGCCCAGGTTGGGGACATTGGTGGTTGCTTTAAACATAACATTGTTGCCGGCTCTTTTGTTATTTTGGTTATTGCGCAGATTGTGTTTATTCTGCCTGATCGGCAACTAAAACACGCACTCTTATGTCAGGGACTCTGGTTGACAATGGGAGGTGCGCAGCGACTACCTTCTCAAGTTGTTGATGGAGGATGCCTTGCGGATACCAGTATACAACTGCCTCGAAGATGCACAGGCACGCCACTGCAGCGAAGTCGTTCCAATTTCCACAGGTCTTCATAGTAGCCTGCCCACTTTATTCAGCTTCAGAATGTGGTGGCGCTTGCCATCACACGATGAATGCAGTGCTCCACGTGGCATACACAGCCCTTCCAGCTTATGTTCCGTCAGGTGAAGGAAAAGACACCCGCCCAGGGTGGAAAGAAGCGAGGCTGGCCCATGTAGAGCGTGCTGATATGTTAAGTGCTTAGGCTTCATCAGTTCACATCTTTTACACCACATTGCCTTTGCTGGGTCTCAGAGCCACTCAGCCAGGTACCACCGCAGTTCATACATGTTTGCAATGACATTTGCAGAGGCAAGAGCACCATGTAAGGCTGAAGGGGCTGGATCGCGCTGGATGTGTTTGGCTGCATCGTGCCTTTGTTTGTGCTCCCCACGTTCGGTTATTTTGTTGGGCAATTCAATAGTCCATGTTTTTGGTGTTTCAGATTGCCTTGTCTTGAACACCTTGAAAGTCATGTTATTTCTTCTGACAAGGTTATTTGGTAGGTGGGGTGGCACGTTCAACATCCGAAAAATAAGCTTTGGAAGATAGATCGTCAGCATGCACAAAACACAGTGTTTTAAGACTGCGTTCCCTTTGTTGCTTGGAATTGGGGTTTCGTTGCTACATTGTGTGTTTACCTGAGCTGTCAGACAAATGGGCTGAATCTGATTGACACTGAGCCGTGCTTTTTTGCACAAGTTTGCCCCCTCCAATGTGCATGTTCGACGTTGTTCGTGCTCCTTCCCATCGTCTTTTGGTGGGGCTGATCTTTATTCTGGCATGCCCAGGTTACCCCACCGTTTTCCAAAAAGGTGTTTTCTGCAGAGGGGTGCAGCCCCCAATTTGTCTGCTGGCCACTGGGGCCACCCCACCCCCAGATACCGGCCCATTCCCGCCCGCAAGGCCGCCCAAAGAGCAAGGCTGACCAGCGAGTAGTGCAGACAGATTCGCTTTGTGGTGTGAGGATGCAACAGCTTGAAGCCACGGCATGCCACGGCCTGGGCAAGTGAACGACAGTTGGTTCGGACAGTTATTGAATACTGAGGAATACATCACGCATCGAAGTGTTCGTTTGCAATCTTGTGGGGTCTCCGTGAGCATTCAAAGGGACAACGCAACAAGGCAAAATAATGCATGTGTAGACGAAGCACCTCAACAAAACGCACCTCTGGGCGACTTGGCATGACAGAAGCAACGACGAAGAATGGTTCAGAGAAGCCCGTAGAAAGGTCAGCTGCTGAGTCTTAAAGTTGATCTTGCTTATATAGCTGATGTAACAAATTGTGTCAAATGCATGCGACACATCCATGAGTGCCTGCAGGGGTGCACATGTAAACTTTGCAGCTGCAGGCAGTCTCGCCAGACGAGAAGAAGATCCTAGGCAAGCCTGTTGAGAGTTATAATTTGCACGTGTTTGTGCCTTGCCTTTGCGGGGAGGTAGGGCCAGCAAGTATCTCTTCGCCAGGGATGAGCATTTGTAGAGGCAAGACCCCGTGTCAGGCTGAAAGGGCTGGATCCTGTTGGATGTCAGGTATGATGTGCTATACTGTGCTGCTTACCTGACGTGGTACAAACACTTTTGCGTGGATGGCAGCAAGCAAGAACACCCGGCAAGGAAAACAAGCAGAAAGGTATCAAAGTTCGGTATCTAACTACGGTTGACAGTTGATACTGTTTGTCGATTCACTGTACACATCCGCGAGGCCGCCCAAAGGCGAAGGCTGGACGGGGTTGAGCACAGACGCACTGTTATCAGGGCCTCAAAGATGGAAGGCTTTGGAACAGCAGAGGAGCGCAGATTCTGGATTTGCTCCCTGCTCTGTGGAGAGATAGCTTCCTCGCATCGTTCCAAGCGATTAGTACCTGCTGCCGAACACATCAATAAAAGATAAATGATCGCACAATTAGTGAAGAACAAACACACGCCATCCTGCATGGTTGTCAACCCTCCAATGCGGCAGCGCATGTGGCCTGCAAGCGTTCGAGGGCAATAATTCTATCGATGTTGAGTATTTTCATGCAGTATGAGCCGCAGTGTTGCTGGCAGTGTGTCGCAGCAGTGGCTTTTGGCAAGGGGAGGAAGCCGGGGAGGCCACGCAAGGACCAGGCGGGCCCGGAATCAAACAGGGCCAATATGAGTGGATATGAGCGGCTCCCTTGAACCTTGAGCAGCCTTCGTCGGCCAAGGCTGTTCATGTTGACGTATCTCGCACTCGGCCTATTTTGCACTTTGCCCAAGGCTGCATGGCCTCGCTGGCGCACGCTGGTCGGTAGACGTGCAATTTGTATAGACCAATCACGATGGAAGCAGCGTTCTGCACAAGTGCTGCGTGTTGCGCAAGCGTTCGGAGCAATGAAGCACTCCAGGCGATTTCCGACAAGGCTGACGAATTGGAAATTGGAGAAGAGCAGGATCAGTCGCAAGCCTGGCCCCCTGCACGGAGTACACACCAGAATGCCTGCTGCACGTTTGGACACTGGTTACGCATGCTATGCTGGCAGCATGACCCGAACTCTGAATTTCTGAATGCCAAACCGTCCCAACTTTGCTGGGTCAGGTTTGCAAAAACATCGAGGGTGCTGCGCCCACCATCTTCTTCGCCAGAGGCCGTTGGTGCGATTGTGTTCGGAGGCTGTATCATGTGCGCAAGATGTCATAAGATGTCAGATCTGCCTAGCTCTGTTTAGGCCAAGTGCGGCCACCCAAGATGCTGCTGCCGTCAGATGCAATAGTGCGCACTTTGCCCTGCCCAAAGCGGCCTGAGAGCTCGGCGGAGCTCTTTCAGCAGCTTGGCTTATTTTCAGCCAACTCCTTCAGATTCGGCCTTTAGCTTGAGAAGCCTCTGAAAGTACAAGGGTATGTTGATGATGTACCTGCACCGCCGATGTTGAGGAATACTCTGCAGCGTGCACAAGAAGAAGGTTTACATGCACCAGATGCTTGGCAGGGCCTGGGGCAATTGCCAGCCGACCTGCCAGAGGATTTCAGGAGAGCATGTGCAGACGTTCGGGCTTCGCTGGCAGCAACACCCAGGCCCAAAGCCCGCAATGCAGGAGCCTTCTGATCCTCGGGCCATCCGGCAGCGGCAAGTCAACTTTGCTTCGGCAGCTCCTGAAAGAGCGCTTTCCAGAGTACCAGGGACCGTTGTACCCATGCGGCGAATGGCCGAAGCAGCGGGCGCTCATTGAAGCCTTTGCGGACCCCATGGAAGGCAGAGAGTGATCTCTGGTTTCTTTTCTTTTTCTTTCACTGCCACTGGCGTGCGTATTCTACTCTTTGCATCTCTTTGCATCTCTTTGCCATTCCCTCCCCACGATGTCCCCAAATGTGTTGCGACCAAATTTGGGGAGCGGAGCCATGAGTTGGTGAACATGACATCGCCACCGTTTGAAGAGTGTTTATGCGAGTGCCACTTCATTGTCCGCGCAGGCCGTGGCTTCCTCACTTCAGTGGGCCTCAGCAGCGTGCCTTCCTGGTGCAAGCCTTTCGAGGTCCTCAGCACTGGGGAAAGGCACGCCGGAACTGGCGGTCCTCTATTGATGTGCAAGCAGACTGCGCTCAAATTGTCAAAGCGTTCGTCAAAATTGCGACACACACACACACAATTTTGGCCAGTGAGACGGCCACTTGCACGTGCAGTCGAATATGCATATGGCGCATTCAACCCATAACATCAGAAGTCCCAACCTCAAATCAGTATAGCCCGGAGATCAGGAGAAATACAAGAACTGTCAGCTGAATTGACTGACCGGTGTCGCATTTGGATAGGTACCGCGCTAATCTTGCACTTGCGCTGCAACGACGAGCAAGCTGTACCACGCCTTGTGAGCCAATGGTCTTTGACGAGTGGACCAGCGAGCTTGACCGGGACCTTGCCCGGGTGCGCCATAATGCGCTGTGTCAGATGACATCCAGCGCATGCGACAGTGCATGCTTGTCCAGTGGCCTAGGTGGTTTCGACAGCCTTTGGCAAGCGCATGCGTTCGGGCCTCGGCCATGTGCCGTCAGCAGTGCTTCCCGTGTAGTTCCTTTTTCCATTGTAACTACCGCGCAAGAGTGCAGACAGTTCCTTGGCTCAGGCCGGGAGTGGGCGGTCCAGGCCGGCTGGTGGCTTTATCACAAGTCCGGATAAAGTTGGCCGTTTCCCCAATAGTCTAGAAAATAGGGGGTGGATCAGTGGGGCATCCACAGATGCATTTTACAAAGTGTTGTCTTCCCACCTGCTGCCGCCAGTACATCTCGCTTTTTCAGATTATTAGTTTAGAGCGGCAGGCTGGTAAAAAGACAACGTTAACGCTTTTAACAATCGATACCAACTTTGGACCCGTCGCGCTCTCTCTCTCTCTCTCTCTCTATGTCTCTCTCTCTCTCTCTCTCTCTCTCTCTCCCTCTCTCTCTCAAGTCGCATGTCTAACGTTGGCAACTGATATCCTTGACACGTTTGCGAGGCAAAAGTGGCAGCACCTGCGGCAAATCCGGCGATGAAGCCTGATGAGGCTCAGCCTGATGAGGCTCAGCCTCCTGAGGCTGAGATGGCTGAGGTGAAGGTGGCAGAGGTGGCAGAGGAGACAAAGGAGACAAAGGAGGCAGAGGTGGAGGAAGCTGAGATGGCTCAGGAGCCTCAGGAGCCTCAGGAGCCTCAGGAGCCTCAGGAGCCTGAGGAGCCTGAGGAGCCTGAGGAGCCTGAGGAGCCTGAGGAGCCTGAGGAGCCTGAGGAGCCTGACGTTGAAGCTCAGAAGCAAAGGCGGTGGAGGGGGATATTCAAAAGGCTGCGGTGGTTGAGGCTGAAGGGTCCAAAGAGGATGGGCGCGAAGAGGAAGGAGAAGCTGGCAGGACAGAGGAAATCCAAAGGGCGAAGGTTGCCGAAAGAGGCAGAGGCAGCGCAGGCCAAAGAAGGCACGCAGGTTGCGGAAGCAAAGACTGCAGAAGAAACCAATGCCGCGGAAGCCGAGCATGCGGGCGCTGCAGAAGTTCAAGAGAGACAGCAGCCAGCACCACTGCTGCAATCAGACACATGCTAGTTGATCAGAAGGTCCTCGTGCAACAAGGAGGAACATTTTGAAGTTTCATTGCATGTAATGTCCACCTGGGATTAGTAAACGGGGGTCCCCCCCCCCAACGATGGGGGCACCTGGAATAGGATCTTGAGATCCAGTTCAAGTGAGTTATTGGTAGACTTGAGTTTCCATCTGATTTAGTATTGCTGGAGCTTTCTTTTGAGATTTGGAACTGAGTTTCTATTTGATTTAGTATTGCTGGAGCTTCCTTTTGAGATTTGGAACTGAGTTTCCATTTGATTTAGTATTGGTAGACTTGAGTTTCTATTTGGTTTAGTATTGCTGAAGCTTTCTTTTGAGATTTGGAACTGGGTTTCCATTTGATTTAGTATTGCTGTAGCTTCCTTTTGAGATTTGGAACTGAGTTTCCATTTGATTTAGTATTGGTAGACTTGAGTTTCTATTTGGTTTAGTATTGCTGAAGCTTTCTTTTGAGATTCGGAACTGCGTTTCCATTTGTTTAGTGTTGCTGGAGCTTCCTTTTGTTTTTCTTGGGTGAGCCAGGCAACAAGACTTTATTTCGGGGCCCCCTGAAAGAATGTCAAGTTGGGGGCTGAAGTACTACCCCCTTTGTGGGTTTGATTGCGGGCAGGTTTTCAACAAGAGACATGTAAGAAAACGTGGGTTTGGAAAACCTGCCAATTTTGGATTTGAGGAGCAGGCCCAAATCTAGCAACACAGCATGAAGCATTGCCAGCCTCACCTAGGCTGTCTAATTACTTGACTGGCTAACTAGCGATTGCGCTGGGCAGGCTTTATTTCGGGGCCCCCTGAAATAATGTCAAGTTGGGGGCTGAAGTACTACCCCCTTTGTGGGTTTCCAACAAGGTTTGGTAAAGCAGACAATTTTGGATTCAAGGAACAAGGTACCAAAGATCCAAGGACCAGGCGTTTGCTTGGCTATCTCTCCTCTCTTTTCTTTCTTTTTTTCCGGGGGGCGGGGGATGTTTTTTTTGGCGCGGGTGGCGGGCGCGTGTCTTTATTCCAGGTGCAATTATTAATATTTTTGGGCCACCCGTTTGTCTTTATTCCGCGTGCATTTATTAATCCTATGTGGACATTATGTGCTCGTGAAGGCTTCTTGGAGGCGTGCCTGCAGGCATAGGTCTGATACACAGCACATTTACTTGCTGGCATCCTTGATTCCCTTCCCGTGCTGGGAATGGCCCAAGATCTCCAAGCCCAAAACGCTGAAAAACGTTGGCTGAGCATGTTCGGGGCAAGTTTCAGTGAAGATTGCCGTTTCCTGGAAGCAAGAACATCCATCAGCTCTCCAGCCTTGATCGGTGTTTCATATCTCGCATGCTCAGGTGCCTAGAGGCCCCTACGTCTTCGCTTCTTGCCACGAGGAGCATGCGTCATGTTCATCGTGATGTTGCGCAACCAGCATCGCAGTTGCAAAGGCCCAGTGTCGGACCGAATTGCGAGGATGTGTTGCAGTACCTGCAGCCACAGCCAGTTGCTTACACTAGCTTTTGATGCAATGTGGTCGGTGCTTTTGCGTGTGCTAGCCTTCAGCCTTAAAATTTGCAAGGCACGTTGATCTTGAGATTTCAGCGGTTTCTCTTTGCACGTGCCAAGGTTCGTTTGCTACTGCGAGACGGGCAAGGCCCCTTTGCTGCTTCAAAACCCCAAGGAGGGCTGCTTGCCGCAGCTCACTGCGCGCCTTTCAGGCTCGAATTGTTGCATTGTGAGCGATTTTTTGCGGGAAGTCAGGCGCAGGCAATTGCCAACATGACCGTTGCGTCTTGCCAATTAATGTTGGGGAACAAGTGATGTATCAGAGAAGGCAAACATTCAAACAAATTATCCCAGCAAGAGACCCCAAATAGTATTGGGTTTAACTTGACGACAAGTGGCCCGGAAGCATAGAAAGATGTTAAAAAAGCTCTGAAACCTCCCCCACCTGATGAAAAACAAATCGTAAACACAGCCTCTGCAAGTTCTGATGCGCAAGCTTAGCTTCACAATCTCTCCTGTTCACTTTGCATGCGTGCGATGCTGTGGCTCGATGCTGCGCGCGAAGCTTCGCGTGATGTTGCGCCACGATGTCGCATGACGCTGCGCATGATGCAGCGCATGATGCTGCGCGTGATGCTCTGCAACCTCTCTTGCCAGATCTTTCATGTCCTTTCTTGAAAAACTGTCTTGTCCATATCTGCGCGCAGCTTGGCTGCGCAAGAAGGCTGGCGGCTTTAGCTGCGGAAGCGTTCTTCGCAGACTTGTGCTCTTACAAGTTGTGGTTTTCGTGCTGCAGAAGCGGCTGTGTAACTCGCGTGCTGCTTCTCCATTTTAAAGTTGCGACTTTTCGAGTTGGAGATGCGAGAGTATGCACTTTCCGAACAATACTTTCGCGCTTGAAAGTTGTGATTTACGAGCTAGAAATGAGGGAGCGCACTTCGCGCACCACCTTTGCACGTAGCCACTCTCGAGGCTTTCGTCCTGCAGCGCATGCAAATGAGCCAAACACTGCGCCTGCCACAAAAGTCACAGACCCTGCCTGATGGTGAAAATGCTGCGCTTGCCACGCAACCCATAGCATCAGCGCAGAACATACTGCGCGCATCACGAAAAACGCATGCCAGTGTCACAGAATGCGGCGCTGGCCATGGAATCCAGCCGTCAACACACAAATCGAAGCTCGGCACGGCGTCAAAGCGAGAGGGCAGTTTTGAAGAAAGGCCCGTTTCATGAGAGGCTGTCGCACGCCAGACGTCGTAGCCTCACCTGACAAAAGGCATCCACCGCGTAGCGTAGCGGCCTCGCGTTAGGCTTCCTTTAAAAAGTCGTCGCGAAAACCTCCGCGCGCCTGAGGCTTCCTTTAGAATCCCTTAAAATCACCAAAAACTGCGTTTCGCCTTGAAGTAGGTCTGAGAGACTGCTTTAGTAGGAGGTATTACTCAGAATTTGGCTGCTTGAGGCCTCAGTTGGTTTTGTTTGTTTTGCTGTCTTAGGATTGGCGCAGTGTCATTTTTTGGTGGGTCCGGCATTGGTTTAGTATTAGCTAGCGTTGGCTGAGTACTGGCTATTGGTCTAGCATTTGGCTTAGTATTCCTTTTTGCTCGCCCAGGGATGTTTGTTTTGTGTACTTCCTACCTTCTGTGAATGTGGCAGCCAATGTGCATGAATGCCGCTCGCCTTATGTGGTCAAGCGGGCCCCTTGAGTCACTTTCCTTTTCAGACGCGCTGGATGGCGCTGGCAAAATGAGCGCGCTGCTCTGAGGTGGCAGCGATCCCTTGCAGCTTTTTTGGCAGCGGAGCCGCGGTCCGGGGCAAATGCCCAATTGGCCAAGCGGCCCACAACAGGGGCGTGAGAGCACTCCCGAGGTACCCTGGCCTTCGGCCCCGGGTGAAGGTGAGAGGCTCGCCCCTGGAGCGACGGTTCGTCAATCTGAAACCGCTACCACTGCGCCACTACATGCTGCAGGTCCCCAAGGGCCAGGACGTCATGCTGACGGGAGGCCTCAGGGTGTCGACCTACCGCTCGACGAGGATGACGAGTGGAACCTTTCGTAAAGGCTCTCATCATGGACCTGCACCGCCAAGCAGGAGCCAGCAAGGTGAGAGAAACGAGCGGTGGCTGTGCTTCAGATGTGGATCACCCGAGCTCATGTGGACTCGGGCAACTGGTTGGTCATGCAATGCCTGTGGAAGCAATGAGGTCTAACAACGTCTACAGACAACCGCAAGCAACAGGCACATGGATGTACATTCCCCATCACGGAGATCGACTACCTGACCAACCAGGTGAACCTCAACCAGGGCCTCCTCCAACCGGTGACCCCCATGCACAACCAGCACGAGCACGCACAGGGAGAACTCGCACCCGGCGGAGGCACGCACGTCCACCCCCCGCAGGCGGACCAAACATGGATGAGACCGCAGAGAGCGAGACCCCAACAGAGGATCCGGAGGTGAGTGTGTCGCAACGCGGCTCACAACATGGACACGGTGGAGATGATCACGATCAAGCCAATCCCGCAGCTCTTGTGGGCGTTCCTCTGGACCCCACTGAGCAGCTGGCCCAGGCTTTGCAACGCCTCCTCAAGAAGAAGGACAATGATGACACCTCATCCTGGTGCTCGGCAAGAGAACCACAGCGAGGAGTCCGTTTTCGAGGAGGTACCGCACCGTCACCACCGACATGGACATCCTCAACCGCCTACGGTCAGCCTTCAAACACAAAACGGTCTACGTCAAGCGCCACCTCCTCCACGAGTATGAAAACGTCGCCCGGTACTCCAACGAGAGCCTTCGGACTTATATCAACCGGTAGAAGGGCACGGAGGGCAGCTTACGAGTCGTGGGGGTGGACGTGACCTTGACCTACGACAGTGAAAGCCGTGGTTCCCGGTTGTTGGACAGGTCGAAGCTTTCCTATGATCAGCAACGGTTGGTCCTGGTCAGCACCAACCAGAGCCTGGACTTCGAGATGGTGGCGTCAGCCTTGACCATGCACTTCCCAGAGTACAGGGCACAGCCACCGCTGTTCCAGCCCTACAAGGAGAGACCGAACCCCAAGGGAGCCGGCAAGCAGAACTTCGGAACTTCATCAGTCTCGAGCTCTATGGCAACTTCCTCGTCATCACCCTCATTTCAGAAAGGACGTGGAAAAGGCGGCTTTCGCCCTCGAAAAGTCTTCAACACAGAAATCGAGAACCCGGAGTTCGAGGGTGAGGAGAACCCTGAGGACGGCGACGAGGGCCTTGAAGTCATTCCCGAGAGTGACCACGAGGACGACGAGAACGTTCCTGAAGGTGACCAGAGCGAGGACCAGGATGACCAGACGGACGACCTTGCAGAGCTCGCCCAGGTGCTGACAGTGACCGCACGCAAGCTCGCCAGCGTCACTCAAGGACGCAAGTACTCAGGCCAACCCCGCAAGAGCCTGGCAGAAAAGAAACGCGCAAGCCATTGTGCCGCTTGTGGCGAGCAGGGTCACTGGGCAGGGGATGATGAGTGCAAGGCCTCGAGCTCAGGGCAAGGACAAGGGCAAGGGCAAGAACGATGGCAAGAGCGCCCCTGCCAAGAAGGTGTTCACGGTCCGTCACGGCAGTGGTTTTGATTCCGTGGTGGAATACCCACCCGCGGATGAGACTTTTCCAGAATCAAGAGGGCCCGCAAAAGTCACACTTTGCGATGGTGGTTCACATGGCCGACTCCTTTGAATGCATGCAGGCAGTTCACGAGGCGGTAGGATTCATGATCCTTGACACCGCATGCCAGAGGTCGTGCTGTGGAACCGCATGGATCAGGGCCCACACCGAGAAACTCAACGAGCTTGGTTTGAAAACCTTGGTTAGGGAGTCGCAGGAGAAGTTTCAGTTTGGTTCCGGACAGCCCCTCATTTCAGAAAGACACGTGTTTCTCCCCGCGGGTGTCAACGGCAAGTGCATGATCCTTGGAGCCAACATCCTGCCCACCAAGATTCCCTACCTCGGTAGTTTTCGATTGCTTGAGCAGTTGGGTGGCATCCTGGACATCCCCAAGCGGAAGATCTTCTTTACCAAGTTGGGGTGCCACGTGCAATTACATTTCATTGGGGGTCACATGGGCATCAACATCTTGGAGTTCCCCCCTCACATCAACAAGTCAGACGTCTGGTTGCAGATTCAGACTCAGGGCCTCCAAGATCCTGAAATCAATGTGCCGGTGGCCACCACAGCAGCGGCTCAGACCAATTCGGAGCCCCAGGACGTCCTGGCCACCTCCAACACGCCAGCCCATGTTTCGCGAGGAAGTCAGCGAGAGACGATGGTCATCAATGGTCAGACACATCCTCAAAATGTACCGAGTGGTGTGGCGGAACATGAGGGTGGCAGCAAGGCTCGGCATCATTGCCTACAGCCTCTACGACAAGATGGTCTTGAAGGACGACCTGGAGGACAACAAGAACAGAAAAGCGAAGAGCCTGCTGAGCAAAAACATGCAGATGGCTCAAGCAAGATGCTCTCATCCGGCGTTCCGCCGGTACGGCAACAAGCACGGCAGCTTCGCCGCATGCATCAGTGCAGCCTGAGGTGGAGATGGATCAAACCCACAGCCGAGATGGTCGGCAGAGGCGCTACTCCCGGCTGGAGGTTGGATGAGTTTTGCTCCAACTTGCGGCTGCCGCAGCCGTCAGCCTTGACAACGGTGGATGGGAGCATCGTGCCAATGGTGGCTGGGGGAGTGGTGACAACAGTCGCAGGATACCCGTGGCCGGAAGCAAGGGATCCCCGAGCCTCACACGTGCCGCTTCCGGATCGGCTGGCAGAACCCAGGTTCTCCAAAGCACCTTCGCCGAACCGCAGATCGAGAGCGCCATCTATGACATCTTCGGCGGCGGGCCATGGACTCACGGCGGATCAGCTTCAGGACCACGACTACGCCATGGAGTAATACCAACTGTCGGAACCGGGAAGCTCCTTCCGCCTGCTGGATGGAAGCGGGGGACCCTGAAGCGCATCGGCGGGGAGACCGACAAGAGCGTGAACATCCTACAACATGAACGTGATGTTCTCGATGCACTTCCTGCATGGCATGATCGCGAGCACTACACGGACCTCATGGAGCTCTACAGCGGCGAAGCAGGTCCGACTGTCTTGGCTAGACAGTATGGGCTGACGGCAGTTCAACCCTTCGACAAGAACGAGGGCTACGATCTCAATGAAACAACAACGCAACGACTGTG